ATCCTGCTTGCATAAGCCTGTGTACCTCACAAAGGGTTTCGGAGAACCTCAGCATACGATAAATGATACACTGAGTTCACCTAAACGTAAAAGAGCAAAATTCAGTTGTTTACATTTTCAGGTGATTCCAGAGATCTGATTTTGAGAGACCTTTCAAAAGAACCATTTTCAGAAAGTGCAGAGTATGTTTTTTTCGCAGGTGCTCAGACTAGAAACAGAAAAGTCTCAAAAAGGAAGAAGCACTTCAATGCATTTAGTCAGTTTTGAGTTTTAAGCCTGCCATTGAAATGGATTAGACTTCTTTGAAGCTACTTGGCCACATTTTCTTCAATACAGATATAAAATAAGCATATATTGTGCTGACATTTTGAAAGTTTATTATGTAGATCAGAACTGTGAGAAAGCAAAATCTTGCAAATATCAAGGATATTTAACTTCTTCCTCTGCTGAGCATGAAGTTCACTTAACTATATGTTATATTAGTGCACTTTTTTTTTAAGAAAACATTTGCCATACAGCTTTGGAATGTCCTGTTTTTCTGCACAAAAGTGCAGGTCCTGCATACACTGTGTCCATTATCAGATGGGAATCTCTGCTGGAAAGATAATTAAAATGCTGCATCATTCACAGCCATGCAGATACTGAACCAGACACAAGTTTTCAAAAAAACAGAACAAAACAAATCCCCCCAAACATCCAGAACCCCAGTCCCAGAACTCGAACCCCCCGCATAGATCCTATTTTTGTTGGATGCATGTAGCATTGTGGTAGTGATCAAGATGGGTTTATCAGCTGAAGATCAGAGAAGTATGCCATTTCAGCCTTTATAGCTAAATATATATTTATTTTTCCCCCTCTACTCAGTCGCCGCAGTATAAATCTGAATTATTCCATTTGCCAGTTTCTTTGGAGGTGCCCTAAGCTGATGTAAATACGAGAGCAGAGCTGGGCTGAAGAGGTATCCTTAGCTGATTACCAGAGCTTTTCTTTGGAACTAAATATCAAAAGAAAAAGGCTTTTTAGAAGAGATCAGGAAGAGGAAGACATGTGCTCAGAGATAAAGAGAGATAAAAGCATTCCATTTAAAGACGCCTGTAATAGAAATCAAGGAGTTCATCTGCCAAGTCAGTAATTTCACAGCCTTATGACCATGCGAAGCTTCCGTTTCTATTACCCTTTTCCCACACTAACTGTAAGCGCCAAAGTAGCGGCCTGAAAGTTTCTTTTAACTTGTTCAAGCAGTCCAGCCCGTTAGGGAGAAATTACTCATTTTGAACTCATAAGATAAAACTCTGACTTCCAAAAGGAACAACAGTTCTCCCATAACTTTAGGTCCAACTTTCTAAGGCTAAGCACAGCAAGGCATGGGAATAGATTGCCTCAGGAGGTTGCAAGTTCTCTACCGTTGAAAGTTTTGAAGACAAGTTAGACAAACATCTCTCAGGAGAGGTTTAGGTAGAGCTAATTCTACTGTGGGGAATGAGGACGGCCCAGGTGGCCATCTGATGTGACTTCCAGCCCTGTTTTCTATGGTTCATTAGGAATGAGATCATGGTGAGACTAGATCCTGCAGTAGATCATGCATTTTTTGCTTTAAGACTCATTTTAAACATTTTTTTCACTTAAAATATTTTTAGGATTTTTTTTTTTAAAGGAAGCAGTGGATTTCAGTGAGAAAATTCTTTGAAAATCCTAGCTTTGCATATGTTTAGCAAGCTAGCGTATGCAAAACATGCAAAGCATTCTAGGCTAAAATTATCTGTACTATCATTAGAAAGTTATAAAAAGGAACATATGGAGAGATGCTGGTGTACTCCATAAGAGCAGAAGGGCTTTTCAGGGCTTTGCTGACATGCAGCAACTCTCCCTCTTCACAACCCCCGCCCCCCCAAGCAGTTCTCATGACTTGTATTCGTTCTCCATTGGGAAGTAAAACTGACTGGGTGAGAGAGAATTTGACCTGTGATTTTCTCTTTGAAAGAGACATTTAGTGCCCTGACCTGTCTCCTGAGGGTAGAGAGAGATTTTCTTGTATATTTTGCTTTTGTTTGTTTCCTTCCACTTAGGGTTGTGCTTTGCCTAATTGCCGAAAAGTCATTAATTGTCCAGAGGTATTTGTCACTGTAGGTTATTACCCCCCCCCCCAATTCATTCAGAAGAGAGGCTCCTTCATGATAGGCAGCTTGCAAGTCCACACCCCTTTGATGACTTATTTCTTCTTCCTGGTTGGAACAGTTAAATTTTTTGCCCAAAGATTTTGCAGCTTACTCACTTAGGCTTTGTATCCAGCAAAGCACATTTAACTTTGGCATCAGCAGATTTAAGCATTAATTCAAAATTAAGCATGTGCATAAATACCTTGCCAGCTGGAGCCTTAGCACTTCACAGCTCAGTTATTTTGCAGTGTATCCATTTCTGGAAGTTTTGGATTGATAGAGTAGGTCTTGTATAAACACACTTCCAGGGAGCTCATCAGTGTAGGAATTTGGCCAAGAAGTAGTTTTATGATCACTGTTTTTAATTTGGATTTGGTTGGTCTCGACCCCACTCCTAGAGGACAGGGCCCTTATCACAAAATAAACATCCTCCTCTGCACTATCAAGACATCTTAGACAGGGCGATCTCAAAGAGCAGGCCAAGGCGCGCGGGCGTCAGCAGGCCCTGAAAGCTGGGCCACTCCTCGGCGTCCTCTCAGGCCAGGCGCAGGTTTCCACTGGAAGCCTGCGCTACTGTAACGGGTGCCGAGCCAGCAGCACCCACGGCCACGCAGCTGCCTGTCCATGCACCCAGCCTGGCCTCCGCAGCAGCACGGCCTGCTCCATCACCAGCTGCCTCCCAGCAAGACTCCCCGGGAGCCCCCTTCTTGCCCTGCTGCCTCGCACAAATCTGCTGAGTGCGCAGGGGCTGGAGGTAGGGCGCTAAAGCCACTGGCTGTAGGTCTCCGACACTGGTAGGCAAAAGGCATTCTGGAGTATAGTAGTCTTTCCTATCTGTGCGCTGACAGGCTTTCCCTTGAGTTCAGTTAACATGCCTCTGAAATAAAACCCTGCAGACAAACATCGTATTCAGCGATTACAGAGGAGCCCTACGTCTGTCAGCTGGAATGGGTTTCTCCCATCTTCCGCAGCTTGCTCAGAGAAGGGGAGCATGCAGCGCATGAGACGCAAGCCCCGGAGGCTGGAGCTTGCGAACCAAGCAAGGGTGTGCACTTGCTGTGTATTGGGCTGCCCGCATGCGTGGGCTTACCTTCAAAGCAAACACAGCCTGTTCTCACCAGGAAGCAGCGTCACGTTTAGGCCAGAGCTGCTCACAGAACCAGTTTAGACTAGATTCCCCTATCCAGGGTTTTCTGTGTGGCATCTTTTATCACCACTAAATGCAAAACTTTAATTAATAATAGCCTAAGATGCCTGGAGCAAAGACTGCCATTATGAACTGTGAATGCATGCAGCGTCAGTCACAAGGCATTGCGAGGCTTCTTGGCTCTTTTGCAATATATATATATATATATATGTATATATATATATATAGACAGCACGTTATGTGATCAATCGTTCTTCTCTTACTATCACACAGCAATGGCCTTCTACACTCCTGCATTTAAAATTTCAAAACAGATGGAAGAATTTCAGATTTAAACATCTGGTAAATATGAATTACATATGCAGAAAATACTTTAGTTAGGAAATTACCTATTCTTTTTGATGTTTAAAAGTCAAACAATCTTAGAATCTCAACTTGCTTTACTATTTCTGGTATTTCTGTTTCTGCAGTTTACTCCATTCAGAGAACTAAATTTTACTAACAGCAGTCTGTGTTAGGAGTTCCAATAGAGCAAAGGAACATCCAGGATAGTCTCGTATTTAAAATTTTATTTTCAAAATGTGTATTTATTTCAACTTTGATTGGTATGCTGTAGAGGCCAATCCTGCAAACATTTACATTTCCTATATGTAGTCCATTTGAGCTTAACAGGATTGCTCACGTTAGTAAAGTCACAAGTTTTGCAGCAGCATTCATTGTGGGCTGAGTATTGAAAAATATGGTTGCATCTGCTAGCCAAAATTAATATATATGTGTATTTACACACACATACATGTATGATGATTATTTTAGGTTCTGAGAAAGAAGGAATATTCAAATAGTCACTGAACTCCACTTGAAAGCACATTCAGTGAGACAGAAAGCAGCAGCATGGTGAGTGGTCTTCTAGAGCATAAAGAATACCATAGACAATGTTTTCTAACAGAACCAATTGTAGTATGAGAATATTATTATATATATATTTTTTTACAAGTTTGTTTTAGGTATGTGGATGCAAGGTCCATTTTTCAGTTTCTGAAGAGCATCCCACAGATTTCTTCTACATATGTCAAATTTCCCTTTGTTGCACCTAAAGCTACCATTTTGACAGATGAAAGAAATATCAGCCTTGTAGGCTGTGGGGAGGTGGGAGACTGAGGCACTGACCCTGAGGTTCCTGACACTTTCTGTTGTTGTTTTCCACGAGTGCAGAACTGGTGACAGGTACAGCCTTGTTCAGATCACAGGCCTCAGATTTGCAAACAAAGCACTACATTAAAATGCAAGTTACCCTCCATCAGCTGAGCTATGGTGACTGCTTAAGCCCGTACTGTCATTGAATTGCCTAGAAAACACACACGGGTAAACAGCTGCTGTGGTTCGGCTGAGGTATAACAACTTCAACTGTGCTACTTGATTAAGACTCAGAGCCCATAGATATGCCTAAATTGCATTTATATGTATTATAAATTCATCATTCCAGGACCATGCCCACAAATTACCCTCCAGGTCTTTAAAGCGGACAAAATTATTTTTTTTAAGAATGAACAAGTTGTTTTGAAACGAATCATTAGAAGGATCACTGATTTAGAATTATTGATCTATCGAGATGGGACTCAAAACAGTCCCCAGGACCGTCAATTGTACGCATGTCCTCTTTCACGTAAGTCATTTCCAACACATTTTTGCAGAATGAGAATGTTGGCGACAGAAGGTACAGTGATGTCAGTTCAGTTCGCATGGATCTCTCCAATCTTGTGACTTGGGCCCACACTCATGGAACTATATGCAATCAAATCCCAACCTTGGAAGCTGTGCAGAACATGGGTCGTTCTAGCAAGGACAATTCCATTCTGTGGATATGTGGAGTTGGACATGCATATCACTGGCCTTGTGGAAAGTTACACTTGAGAAGCAGAGAGGAGAAAGAAGCTGTAGAAGAGAGAAAGAGGTCTATATGCTATGAGACTTCATTAGGAAAACCTAATTTAGATGAAAAAAGGTTCAGGATAACCCCATCTTTTGAGAGGGCTAAAGCAGACTCTGTTACTACAGGGTCATGTAGCAGATCTACAGGGGTCACTCAGCAGAAAGATGACACAGTTTACAAAATAGATGAGGCACCAACACTCAGAGAAAATGAGAGAGGACTAATCACTCAGCAACACAGTAAATCCATGAGATCATGCTCTGCAGCAGAGCAGCATTTCCCAGTATCTGGTGGTGAAGTCAAAACTGACCTACATAAGGTGAAGCTAGAAAGCAATGAAGATCTGCAAATCATCTCTGATGAAGAACAGTTTGTATCAGATGCAGAAAACCAAGTAGACAGAATCAACTGGAATATTCTTTCAGAATCACAAATTAAAGGTGTAACTGCTGAGGTAGAATTGCAAACGCACCGCAATTGGAAGACGGCAATTAACACGCAGACAGCCACCCACACATCCTGCTCTACCCCCATTGAGAAGCCACCACTAACTCCTTGCTTACAGGAGACTTTAGAAGACATCATTCAAAAGAGCCTGGAAAGCAGCTGGAAGTTAGTTCCTCTTAATTCTGTGGAGTCCAAAAATGAAACTTTTAAAGCAAGGAATTCCACTGGGTCAGCAATATCTAAAGAACACTTCAAATCAGTTCCTGTCTTCGACACTGAAGCAAAGATCCAACGAGAATCACCTGCCTCTGTGACATTCTTTGAGTTTGAAGCTACTGTAGATGTCCAGCAGCAACTCCAACTGAGCTCTCCTGAGCGTGGCGCATCAGAAATGAGCTTAATTGGGAACTTTGCTGAAATCCCTATTCAGGAGAGTAAGCCATTAGGATCTCAACATGCACCTCATGTTTCAGCCTCGCTGAGTCCAGAGAGCAAGAATTCAGATCATCCACCTGTGTCTTCAGACAAAAGTAAGATAGTCTGGAGTATTATTCCTGGAAGGGTTTGTGGGTGTGTGGGTGCATTTTAATAATCACTTTCCCAAAATATTAAAGGAGGGTGACTTCATATAGCTGCCAAAATCTGTATTGTAGCACCTGAAGAAACGCATCTCATTTGAGGCACACTGTTTCTACTAAAGGGCTAAAAGGTTCCTACACTAAGCAATCAGCATTTCAGTAGATAGTGCCATTCACTGAGGTACCCAGATGTATATCTAGCGGTAGCTCAGCTTTAACTAAGCAATTTGAATACTTTGGTCTTTCATTTTACTTAGTATCACCATATAGTATGTTGGCTGTCCTTAAGAGAGAGTCCTGTGAGAAACTGGAACCAGAGATGTGAACTCAGGTCTCAAGAGAGGAAAGGAAAAAACAAGAAGTAAAAGCAAGATGAAGAGACTTTTAAAACAACCAAACACAGAAATTATGAGTGAAACTCTGGCTTCATTGAGGTCCATGGCAAAAATCCCAGAGATTTGCAATGGGACCAAAGTTTCAATCCTGCGTGTTAAGTTAGATGACCTCAACAAATTACTTTAGTACTTTTAAGAATGTTAAGATTTTCATGTATTTTATCCTTGAAATCCAACATCCTACTGGATTTGGGGGGAGGAGGGTGTTTATACTTGCTTGAACATTTATTCGCAAGCTACACTGCTTACTGGGGATCTTTCAGTACCAAGGTTAAGTCATGCACAGAGCACATTTTAAATGATTCAGTGTCGTAAGAATATGCTCTTTGATGAAGACTTTAGAAGCCTAGCTTGCAGCAGTTTTAAATCCTGCTACAAAAGAGATACTCTGTCCACCAGAAGGAGTGGCTGACATACAGTGTGTAGACATAATCATAATTATGCTAGCCTTTTGCAAAGACTAGGGAAACCATCATTGAAATTGATTTAGTTCATTTAATAAATGAACATGTTTTAGGATAGATGTCTCTAATGTGCTGGAGCCTTAATGCCAGGTACAGACATATTGTTTTAATGTAATGATTAAACACCTCAAATAAAATGCAAATATCCAGGTTTTTAAAGATGCAATAATAGAGCCACAAAATTTGCATCTCTAATGATTTGCATGCCTGCAGGTGGTATTTCACATTAATATTGAGTAAATTGCTGTCCAGTCAGTTTTATGTTTTCACCTAGGTACTAGCAGAAAAAAAAATAGAGAGACAAATTTTGATAATTTAATTCAAAGAGTCAGAGTATTTCTTTTCCATACAGTGGCCTGATGCCTTGGCTCTATCTAACTGAGAAACAGCTCCCAACAGTAAATGTTTTACTTCCACACACTCAGTACGAGAATCCCCTATTTCATATTCCCTAAAACCTGCTCTGTACTCACATTCACTGTCCAGCCCCATAGCCTGCTGACCTATCTGCAACCCCTTTTGCTACACATGGCTCAGCAGCTTAGCCTATGCCAGTCAACAAGGTGCACACGCGGAGCTCAGGGCGGAGAGCTGCTGTGGCGCTGCCCTCTGGCCAAGCCGGGTGCTTCCCAACAGGCTGAATCCCCAAGGGCACCTTCTCCAGCTGCAGAATAGGGCTGCAGACTCCCCCGATACCTTTCCCAGTGCACCAGACACTTGCCCCCAGCGCAGGACTGAACAGGTAGTCCTAATCCAACACACAGACCAAGAAGTTGAGAGGTCTGCAAGAGCAAAGGAATCTACATGCAGATGGGTATTTACTAAAAATACGTTTCTCAGTTTTAAAGTGTATACCTAGTCCCCAAGGCTTTGCGCTTGCCACGGAACGCCCACTTGGGACAATGTTTGCTATTTTGCGTAGTCTCAGTAACAGAACCTCTACAGCTTTTCTGGGAACTTTAGGGAAAAAATCCCATTTAGCACAAGCATTGTTACAGCTTAATGGCAAGCTCTTCTCTGCTGAAATAGCAATATATAACTCATCTAGCCATAACATTAAAGATCAACAGCCTACTGCAGGTTTCTGTAGTGCAGAGGACTGGCAGCATTCTTCCCAGAGAAAATGGAATAATTAAATAGTATTTTAGGGTTTGTCTGTAACACGAAGGGTGTACGTTTAAAGCACCATTAGCGTTCCTGAATAGACTCAGTGTTACAGATATTCTTATTCCATACATAGTCACAACTGTACAGACTGGCGTATTTGAGGGTTTTTTTGTAAAAGTTATTAGTCTATTTCTTTAATTGACAAAACATATCATCAGAAGCCACTGAGAATTCACCTGGGTATGTCTGTGTAATAGCCGTGTCTGCCAAGATAAATGGCTTATGGCTTACGTGAGGCCTCTGCGTGTATCGATTTACAAGCCGTTCATCTCTTCACACAGACCGGCCAATAACAAAACAAATAACCCCAAAAAGCAAGGCAGAAATATGTAGAATCCATCTCAGTCCACCTGCAGCATTTTAAGATAACAACTAAGCATGTACAAAATAACTCAGTGCAAGGGAAATTTCTAGATATTAGCTTTAAAACCCTTTTCGATATACCTCTCCTCAGCCCTGGAAAAAAAAAAAAATCACAGGTGAGCAGATGGATCTTTTTAGCAATCCAAAGAATTAATTTCCCAATGCTGCATGGAACTAGATAGATGTGGTATTGCCATAGCAACTTGAGAAAGAAATGCAACTGAAATCCTTGCAATCCTTTTTAGAAGTATACCTTTACGCATCTTTTTGTTTTCCTCACTCTCCACCCCTGGAGCTAACTTTTAGTTAATGTCTTATTTCAAAACGAGAGCTCTCCTACCCTAAAGAGGTTTTTGTGAAGCAGAACACTTTGAAATATTTTTCACATAATGTCTTGTACAATACTGTGAATGTCTAAAATGGATACTGCTCAGTACAGTCAGATCACAAGATCCATGTAAAGGCCAACTCCCATCTATTTTAACAGAGCAGAATCTGGCCCACACAGTCACTGTTCATCCATAAAATATATGTTAGAGTAGTTGCAAATTGATGAAAGCATATCGAGTCCATTTTGGGTTGCTTGGGCTTCACAGCCCCCATTCCAGGCTCAATATTACAGCCCTTGTTTATGTGACTAGTCCCATAAGCATGGCCCTTCAAGCACATCCCAAGAATCAATTCCAAAAATCAGTCAGGGTGAAATTCAGTCCCTTGACAGTATGAAGACACACCACCAATGAAAACCATGGTTTCCAGTCCCATTTTGCTGTCTTAGAAGGGCCATAAAATGTGCACTGATGCTTTCCACATTGTGCATTCCACTATTCCATTCAGTGGTGAGAGCTCATTAGGAATTAATTCTCTTCCTGTTAAATTTAATTTTTGAATTATATTTGTCTACATGGTAACATGCAGGTACACCAGTCAAGTGAGAGTGAGAAAGGAGGCAATCCTTTCCCCAGCTAGTCTACTGCAAAGCTATCAAGTGGTGTGGGCTGGCTTGCTGAGAGTGCAAATCAAAACTAAAACTTTCAAGGAAGGGGTACATGAAAGTCTCATCACCTCTGAATTATTTTTAAAAGGAAGGTGAACATTACTCTGCATCTCCTTATATTTCATTGATCTCCTTGTTAGTTCTTGCTATCCACAAAGCTGTGTCTTGTCTTTTAGATGTGTTGAGGAAGTGGGAGAATAAGAGAAGCCGTAGCGCTGGCGACATAAAAATGTTCAGAGACTGGTTGGTTTTACATTTCCCTTCTGAAACGCGTGAGATCTTTATCCTGCCGCCTGAAGACCTCGATAATTACCTAGCCTTGTTCTACAGTAATGCAAAGAAGCAGAATGGCACAGAATTTTCTGCCAGCTCCTTGTACTTCTTTCAGAGCAGCATAGACAGATACCTCAAGGATCACAAGTACGAGTATAACATGGTTAGAGGGCTGGAATTCAGAGCCTCCCAAGAAGCCTTAAAACAAAAGTGTCAGCAACTAACACAAAAAGAGAGAGAGAGAGATTGGAATATTTTGGAGAACCTGACAGATAAAGATGTGGAAAGTCTTCGTAAAAAGGGGATATTAAGTCACATGCACCCTGAAGGCTTTTTGCACCTCATGCTCATAAATCTCATTAGGGGGTTTGGGGCAAACACACACAATCAGAGTCGTAATCTGTACTGGGGACAGCTTGTATTAAAAAAGGACGAGGAGGGATTGGAATACTTGGAATGGAAGGATGAGCTAAATGCAGAGGTAAATGCAGGGGAATCAACTGCACGTGTCTTTGCCAAACCTGATAATCCAGATAACTGTCCGATCCGAGACTATAAAGAGTATGCTAAGAGGAGGCCACTAGATATGCTTCATGACCATGATCCACTTTATCTATCTCCCAAACCTTTGTGCTCCGTGTGGGACCAGATATGGTACTGTAGAAAATCACTGACAAAAGCCAAAATGGAAAAGATCATGAAAGTTATTATCCAGCAAGTCAAAGGAACTGAAAAGAAGTCCAAGAAATAAAAGTATAAATTTAATTTCTGCTTTGCCACTTTTTGGTAGGAGTATGTTTTAAAGTAGTCTTTGAAAGGTTTATGTGGCAATACTTAGTCTAGGTTGAGAGAACATCCTTCTCAGTCCTCACATGAGAGCATGAAGTCATCTATAAATTTGTATCACCTTAGCTTTCAGGTTAAGTGAAAAACTTCTATTATTCTTTCTGTTAAATGGATTTGATAATTCCATAAATGGAATACAAATGTGAAATCTAAGATTGTCATATGTAATAGAAATTAATATTCTGCTGTATTAATGAAATGATAAAATAGCTAATATTAACATGGAGGGGGCAGTAATTGAATTCAACTTCACTAAGAGTTTAAGCTGTATTCATTTTGAGGGGAGCTGACTATTGTAAACTGCATTAGTCTACAGTATAACAGTCTATCATAAAAAGATAAGTAACATGAATTAGTTTTGGGATGGAAGGAGAACGATGAAATACTTAAGTGTTTGCCAGTTGCTAATGCATAGCTAATGGGAACGTTATCAACAAGGTTTATGTCATTTTTCTTAGTGAAAGATTTTTAGATTTAAGACATTGTGATAGTGTTTCAAAAAGTTACTTAAAAAGTGACCGACAGCCTTGGAAAGTTTTATAGTAACTGTTTTCCCCAGAGTGCTAAATATAGCTACATAAATAGGCTTCGGTAGATGCAGTTAACTATTTTAAGCTATTCAAGTGCTATTCAGTCAATATTTTTTCTTACAGTCCAGTCAAGTTGTTGGATGGAATTGTTGACATTTCCTAATAAAACAAAGTTTTACTTAGTACTGTTTGTCTGTTCTAAAAAGATGAAGCCAGTAACCCCAAACTAGTAATTAACAGTTTCCCACAATGCCAATATATTCACTTCTTCTCCTTGTTTCTCCTGATACAAGCCTATCATTCTTGTCCATTACAGAGCTGACCCAGGAACTGGGCAGTTTGCAATTCCACTGAGCTGGCATTCATGGTTTCTTAATGAGGGCTTTGTGGCCCAAACCCTGTGCTGGAAATGGCCCCGTTCAAGCAACGTTTAATAGCACCAAACAACATATAGATGTTTAAAGAATCATAAAAAAAAAAAAAAGGACAAACTTGCTTAACCAAATGCTCAGAGTACGTATTCCAACTGTTCTCATGCTGCCAAACTGCATTATTACTGCAAGAGCATAGCTGAAGGACTGTACAGACCTTTAACACTCGAGTCAGAAAGCAACTGCCTACCTACACAGAAAGACTCAAGCTCAAAACAGGTGCAGCTCTTTGCCAGGCTGTTTGTAAACACACTCGGAAATCCCGGGCAAAGCCCTTTCCTGCAGCATTTGGCTTTACTCATCCTGAGCAAAACAAGAAAATAATCAGATGAGACTTTTCTTTCCTCCCTGCTGGTCTATTTAGTCCACACCCCAAAGCCTCCCTTATCTTGAAAGGCTGCTGCCTTAAAAATCAGGAGGCACAATTAGTCAGCAGAAGTCACTTAACCCTTTCACAGTCAGGTTGGCACCTCTTCCGTTCTCCGGGTTGCTACAAGAAAATAGAGCAAACAAAAACCTAACAACCAAACACCCCTCTCCCCCTAACATGCTGTTACAAGCTATGGAGAGCAGACCTTCCAGAAATACAAGATCAGTCTTCACCCGGCAAAACAAGCCTCACAGGCCGCACCATTTGCTCCGGGTGCTCCAAGCTGCGCTCGGACCTTTCCTGGTCAGTAGGAGCATGCAGCAGTACACACCTACCCCAGGCCCCCTTTCCCAAACACTTAGTTCTCTTCCCAGGCCTGAGATTAAAGGACTGACCCACACGTGGGGCTTTCACATCATGCACAGCGCTCAGAAACTTTGGCAAACGACTGTAGAAGAAAATAGAATTTCAGTAGCGTTCTGTATGCTAAAGACCCATATTAAGAGCGCCTGAGGAGGAAAAGGAGAAAGGACTGGGAAAGCAAGTCTCATTCCTCTAGCAAGCCTTGTATTTGCTAAACTTACATACCACTAGTAAGACAAAGTCACTTGCCTCTTTTTGTATACAGGATATCTATAGATCATATTTATTTGTATCTTGTGATATTTTTAAACTAAGTTTCTAGTTAATTGCACTTCACACAAATGAGTAGCATCCTGTGTAGAGATACTAAATTAGATCTCATCAAGGATTTAATTGCTGCTCACAGAAAAAAAAATCAACCAGAGAACTACTTCATTTTGTAAAAGCAAGGACATACTATTTTCAGAAATTGTAACTATCCTATTACGTATCTTAGCAGCTTATTGTAATAATCATTTAAAATAATTAGGAAATTACCTATTATAGACTGTTACCAGGAGCAGAGTCTTTTGGGGGGAAAAGAAAAAAAAAAGGGGGGCTTTTCAGAGATCACAGGCAGAAGGCTTTAGAGTACACTTTTACTTTGGGGGAAAAAAAAAGGGGGGGGAGGTAAAAGAAAAAGGGTGTCCCAGTGCTCTTTTTCTATTGGATGTTAATGATATCCAATTAACACAAATGCAGTTCATCAGTGAGAAGATGTCTTTTTAGATGCCAGCTTCCTACAGAAAGATTCCACCTGAGATCTAAGAATTGACCAGAATTTTTTTATGACTGAAGTCAGGATGAAAATAATTTTAAAATATGATTTATTTATTTATTTTTAATGAAATGAATTTGTATACATGTATTTGGTGGAAAAGGATTTCTAGGAACATTTCTTCCTGCAGGAAGGGGGACTGAGTGCTCTTGGCTCACCAGCTGCCTACCTGTGAGGACGGGATGTTCTCCAGCTCTCCTGGGGCCTGCGGAGTGAGAGAAGCAGAGCAGAAGCCTGCTAGCTGGGCCAGTAAGCTCCTGTTTTTTCTGGCAGCTTGGACTGCTAGAAACATGTGCTCCTGAGTGGTCATGGCAAATATGCCTGATGTAGTCCTATAATTTATCTCTCTTTTCAACTGTCTCTGCACTTTATTGCAGGGCCATAGAGGAAGAGAGAAACACTCAGGATAAACTAAGTTACACACATGATTTTCATCTACACTTATCAAGAATAAAGATTAATTGCCCTCTTTTTAAAGCTGGAGACCAAAATGCAATGAAGAAGAAGTAATTTGATCAAGGTCATGCATTAGATCAATGGCTAGGAATCTATTAGAGTCTCTCCTGCCTTCCTAGCCCACTTCCTAGCTTGGGGACTGTGCTGTCACATAGCCACTTGGCTTGATGGTTAGATGCAGGAGGAACCTGGATGTTGCACAACTCTTATGCTGATGGGGAAATAGGACTCCCCCCCTCCCGCTGCATTGCAGAAACTGGCTGGTGATGGAGCAAGCTCCGTACATGACTTGCCACCTCCCTAAGTTGCAGGAGGGGCCTACTGAATTTACCATAAGCAGACTGGGACCAGCTGTTGCATACTTTGGAAGAGAAGTGAGCACTCAAAGGCTTCTGCAAAATCAATTTCTTTTCCTCTTTTTATGCATATGATTCTGAACCCCTCTCTATTATCAGCATAAAGACCAAAGGGGAAGCAGCAGAAGGGAACTTTGCACTTTGCTGTACCCATGAGCAAGTTTGCCAGCACTTCTCCTCTGTGCTTCTTCTTGCTTGCAGAGCTGGTGGAGCTGAGCTCGACAGCATTAGGATAAACAGGCCCTGTGCAAGGTGATAGCATGCCAGCTTTCCCAAGCACTTCCTTCTGCCTCTACGCTTCAGAACTGAAGCCTCAGCCTTTCTTGGACGGAGGCACCATTGCAGCAGGTACTGGAGCTGTGATATCGGGCAAGTGGTTAGAAAGGTCGTGTCCTGTTGGCCTCACTCCTGTCTTAGGATTCGTCTTCCAAAGCTCCTGAGTAACTCAAGTCCAGGTTCAGGTTCCGATCTGCTTTTGTGCTGAGGAGCAGAATAAATTGTTGGGATAAAGGCAACACGCTCTCTTAGCATTTCAGAGTTTAGTCCAAGCAGAACGTGGAGCTGCAGTGAAGAGTTCAGAGTTCTCTTCAGCAGAGTTGCTCTTCATCAGCGAAGAGCTACAGAGTTAACAAGAGACCTATTGCCAGGAAGGAATTGTTTAGGTTCTTTGAGGCAGGGAGATGGATTATATGACCTTTTTGAGGTCACATCTGTAATCCTCTGGAGATCCTGCTCCTCTCCCTTCCAGCAGCAGGTTGGCAGCAGTTTCAGAGATACCGTTTACTGCTGACCTTCCCCTTGTGTCATCACTTACATGTGCAGTAACACAACTGCTGAAGACCCCTGGATCTGCTTCTGGCTGCCTGCAGAGTGAGCTTTGCCCTGCGCAGGGCTAGGTTTGTGTACAGACCTGGGAACTTCCCATCTGAACACCCTCATCTGGGTGTTCCCAAGGCCTTCACGCTGTGCCTGCACCGCTCTCTGGGAGCCATCTAGCGACAGGGACGCTGCACAGCCTGCGGGAGCTGGCACCGCACAGCTCTCGCACTGTGGGATGCGAGCAGAGGGGAGGACAAGCAAATCTGCAGTGTTTCCCATGTTTCCTTTTGCTTACTCAGGGTGGGCAGGAGCTCAGCTTTTCTTCCCTGATTAGAAATGTAAAGAGAACTCCAGGGATACTTCAGCCCTTTCTGTGTCAGCAAAGATTGGTTCGGTGCTCAAATAAAAGGCAGCCTGATGGTTCCTATCACGACAGTCACGTACGTAATCAGACATGCTTTTCTTTCCCCTGTCCCCATTCTCTTTAAATATGTGCATTTATTATAAACTCCTGCTGCAAAATCAACTGAACATTCAGACAAACAAAACAGGCCAGAAAGGATGAGAGAGAATAATGACTCTTTAATAAATTAGCAAAATAAACAGCATTAAAATATGTATATGTTATATATCACTGCGTCTCAACAGATCATATGACTTAAATCAAAAACCTGATTTCCCGATTTGATGCTCATATTGATCCAAAGGTATACTTCAGTCTAGGTACCTTCCTAGGTGATGCCTGATACTGTGGTACCTAAAAACCTAAAACCACTCAGAAATAAAACATTTTCTTTGTAAGCCAGAGACGCAGCTTCCAATGAGAGAGCAGTTAGATTACCGTATGATTTCTTTTAATTTACTGTCTCTCCTTGCAGAAGTGATTAAAAGTAACTGATTTGCTTTTTCCCTCCTTTACAAAAAAAAAAAGTGTTACTTCACCTCAAAGGGAAGGAGGAAAAACAAATGAGCACATTTAATGCATTGGAATGATCATCCATTAGATGAAAAACAGATGGAATTTGCAATTTAGAAGTCTCATGATCACCAGGAGTTGAACTGATCAGATATTTTGAGTGTGTCAATTGCATCCAAAACAGGATAAATACAGAGCAAAGTCTAGCGGCCACTGTTCTTCCCTGGGCCATGAGAGCTTCAGTCATCATCTTTGACATACTGCCCTGCCTCCCAGCGTTTGGCCATGGCACTCTTGTGACGAATCACTCTGGTGCTTTCAACAACCTAAAGAAACCAGAAAGCACATTTTTTTAAAAAAATAAAAAGATCTATTTTTGTAAAAGGTTTTTTTGTTTATTTTTGCACAACCCACCTTCCCAGTCAGAAATCCCCAGTCTTTAGGTTAAATACGCTTGACAGCTACCACTATACATCCTGCCTGCCTTGATGCACCTCTGAGCTAACTCGAAGCAGATCCAAGCAGCTGCAGCTCCCTCACATCTTTGCTCATGCTCAGTGCAAGATGCCAGACAATTAAGGCACTGTGAAAATAAGTTTGATGCAATCCCTTGGACTGCCTGCCCCGCTACCACTTGCGGAGCTTTGCCCATCTAGTCAGCCCCCAGAAACTGGGAGCAAGAGAAGTGTCCCAGGGGAGATCCTGGGGGAGTGAGAAGTCAGTGTTGCTCAAACAGAGCCATCAAGTATGTAAAGGACTTTACCTCTGTGTTGATTTTGTCAACGGGTTCAATGCCTGCGTACTGTGAAAAGGGGGGGAAAAAATTGTCAGATAACAGCAACCTAGTAAGGAAATACATAGCGGTAGCTAGATACAGGCCATGGCGGGGTCAGGTTGCATGGGATGCATGGCAGAGAAAATTCAAGGTCAGCCAGCACAAGCATGGTACACAGCTAGTTTTCCCAGAGCCCGGGGGAAGGTTTGGGCCAGGACACACACTTCCTTCCCCTAGAGGATGCGGTTGCTCATCTGCACAGTCCCACCCAGGCTCTAGCACCACTAGTCAGAAGGGTGCTGCCCCTTGGGGCATGGCACGGGAAGAGTGCCATCCTCAGGAAGAGAGGAGGAAAAAAGGGTCCATCTAATGCCTGGGACCCAGCAGATGTCTGCTGTAGCCCAATCTGGTGTCGCCACGGCCACACTTCCCCCTGAGCTGAGCAGCTGAGTTTCCAGACCAAAGCAGGGTGGCATGCCGCAAGAGCCCACTGCCTTTAGCCCCGGGGTAGCTCAATGGCCCCATATTTCTCCCATGCTAGAACCACTTGAACACATGCTGCCCCATGACAGGCAGGGCTGGAGCATTCACCTTTCCATCTTCCTTCACCCTCCTCCTCCTCTCATCGAAGGGACTGGAACAAGTCGATTCGAGGGTGAGGCTCTCCATGCTGCCCTGAGAGGGACTAGCCACTCTTAGCGGAGTAAATGACGATACCAGTCCCAGGATTCCCGTCTGGTGCGAGGCAGGAGCAAAGACTGGAGACCCAGACACCGAGTAGCTGCCACAGACACCTGAGGCAGCTTCAAGAGAAAAAGCCGTTGGGGTATGAAGGCTTGCAAGGACCACTCTTAGAGGCTGGAGGTGCCCACAGAATAGAGCAAGGGTCCTGCCCCAGGACGGGACCTCCTTGGGAGGTCTAGCAGGCTTGGTCACAGCCAGGAACCCTGTGTCTGGGTGCCAGCCTGAGATTTTTTCGGAGGCAAGGAAGGGGAACTGCATGAACTGAGTGCTTCTTGGCCCTTCCAGCACTGTTTTCTGTGGGAATTTGATGTGAGAATTTGACATGGACACTTATCAAAATCTGAGCAGCCCCGGAATCAAAAGGAGTCCCAAGTGCCACTCTCACTAAGCCCATCCCTGATTCTTTCTTCTACATCTGCTCCCCACAGGCAGTCTGGGCTAAGTCCAGCCAGCTGCAGATCGAGCCCTTTTGCTTGCTGGCCACAGAATCTGTGTCTGAAGAGGATTATTTCTCATGGGACAGTTTGCTTCCAACAAACACAGGTCCTTGTTGGCATCTCAGCAAATTCTTGCAGGGAGGAATTTCTACTCCGCACCTTGTAGCCTGTTCTGCTTTTAGAGGCTCTTCTGGGCGGGGACTTGGTGCTTTCGACCTGTAACTGTTTGCTGTTCCCTTTGATCCCTGCTGTGACCACTCTTGCTCTTACAGAAGGCCCAGGAATGTGAAAGGGGTGTGGAGGAACCACATCCTGAACAGCACCTGCATGGTTTGGGTTCAGAGAACTCCTCACAGAGGTTGGGGCAAGGGCTGTGAACCGAACATCTGCAACAGGTCCACAGCTTCCCGGAGCACAGCCAGGGGAAGAGAGAAAGTCTCAGATCTGGCCCCAGTTTGGACTCCTTCCCACTCCTAGCATAGGGTGAGGTCACCTGTGGCTGCCAGCTATGAAAGGCAATGGTTTGTCTCATGCAGACTGCAAACACTGGGCTTAAGAGCTGGTTTCTTAATTACTTTTCACACCTGGGAGAAGCATATTCCTCTGGCTTTATGCTAGCTGCATGCGCTCTGTGCGGGAAGGTCTCCTGAGAGTGGAAGTAGGCACTTCCAGGTGCCATTTCTACCCTCTGACAGGTCTGTTAGAGACTCAGAGTCCCAAAGAATTAGAGGGCAGGACTGTTGCCCATGCTGGCTCTGCACCGAGGGGTTAACTCCCGCCCAGTCCCAAGCCTGCAATTCCTTTCCCCGCCTTACCTGAAGTCTGCGAGGAAAGCCGGGAGTGGGAGCCCTCCTTGGGAAAGCTGTCATTGCTGACCAGGGAGTAGCCCTCTATCAGCTGCCTCTTTCTCCGCTGCTCCTGCAGCTCCTCTTCCCTCTGCAAGTCGCTCCGGATCTCCTCCTCAATCAGTGCTGATGTCTGGGGCTTCCATGTCCGCAGCGTGTACTGCTCCTCCCGGCCGCCCTCCCCCTCCAGCCCCTTCTCCCTCCTTAGCGGGCTTTGTGTCCCCATGTGGTCCACAAAGGAGATCTTGGGCTTCCAAAAGGGCAAGGAGAAGTACTCTTTACGCAGGACGCCTATGTCTGTGGGGCTCAGGGTGGAGCCAGACCTCTGCATGGCGCCAGGAAGCTTTCCTCCCCGGGAATCCTCACTCGCCCATTTGCTGGCGCTGGCGGAAGCGCGGTCATACATCAACGGCTCATCCCTGCTCTTCTCGCTAGCGGCTGCTGCGAAGCGCGGCTGGTACGCCTGGGAGTGTGTCAGATTCACTGTGTAGTTTGGGGGGGTTTCCCCACCCCTGGTATCTTCCGTGGGGCTGAAGCTGTGTCTTGTGGACTGCTCTGCCACAAACCCGTTAATCCAGCTCCTCCTGTGCTCATCTGCCTTCCAAGGGGAGGCTGTCTGATGCAGGGTCAGGGGGGTTTCCTCCTGCTGA